GTCCACCCTGCCAGGGTCCGCATGCCAGAGGCTCTAAAGACGCCTTCCCGTGGAACTCTGCATGGAAGGCAGGGGAGGGGAGGATAGGAAAACGGGCACCACACACCCAGAACCCCTGCTTAGAGGCCCTGGGTTAGTCGGATTCTCTGGAGAGACGGAACCAATAGGATATTTATACGCAGAGAGAGGCGTGTTGTAAGGACTTGGCTCACGCAATCACAGAGCCTAGGAAGTCCCAAATCTGCAGGGTGGGACGTTGGACTGGAGGCGCAGGAAGGAGCTAACCCTGCAGTCCAAGTCCAGCGGCCTTCTGCTGCAGAATTCCCTGTGGCTCGCGCGAGACCAGTCTCTTGTTCTGTTCAGGCCTCCGATACTGACCTGCTGGAAAACCCAACTTCAGCCACGCTCAGCAAGTGTAGCTGGGCCCACCGCCTTATGGAGGCAGCTGCTTTACCCACAGCCTGCGGATTTAAGTGTCAATCTCATCCACACACACCGTCGCAGTAGTAATGTGTGGCCCATCCCAGGTCCACCTCTTGTCAACCTGACACGCATACCCATCTCCTTAAACCACATTCAGTCTCCAAAGAGAGAGAGTAACGAGGCCCTGCTTCCACCTAATGTGACGCGACTGTGCTGTGGACAGCTGGCGTGCAACCCTGTCCCCGCGAGCTCTGGAGCTGTGGGCCTGCCCGCGGGACTGTCAGCACGGAGACGTGGCAGCACCTCTTTGGTCTTCAGGACACTTTAATCTCTACTTCCCTCTCACTTTCCTTTCTCATCTGTGACTTTCCCGTCACTGGGGAGCAGCCTCGTGTCTGTCCCCTTGGCTCTGTGGGCCGACCTGCTCTGGCTTGCGTCTTGTCCCCGGCTGCCGGCAGAGGACTGGGCGCTCCTGGGGGGCGCGGCAGCAGGGAGCACGGGGGCTTCTCTGCAGAATCAGGGCTCTTGGTTTCTTTTTTAAAAATCTGATATGCTTTGTTTGAAACAAAATTCCTCCTTCCCAGAACATGTTCAAAATGAATCTTCAACATTAAAAAAGTGAGGTGGAATTATCTGAAGGCAAATGAAGAAAATCTCCTGCCGTTGCCTCTGGTCTGTCCCTCCCCCAGAGGTTTTTTACAGTTTTTATTTATTTATTCGTTTATTGGCTTATTTATTTTTTTGTCTGGTTTTACAGAGATCCAGCCCTTGACCTTGGTGCTATCAACACTGCACTCTAACCAACTGCGCTAACCGGCCAGCCCTGTGAATTTAATTTTACATCATTTAATGCAACATTTGGTGCATCCCAGGAACACACAGCTCACATGCATCACAAAGCGATAGACACACGTGCCCTTAGCACCATCCAAACCCACGCGGCCCCAGCACTGTCCCCAGACCCACCGCTGTCCTGAACATGGAATTGGTTATTGGTTCTATAACAATGGCCAAAGTGGCCCTGGATTCGATTTTTGACGTTTCAAAGCTTGTCTGTGCCGCGAGCGTGGCTGAAGTGGGTTTCCCAGCAGTTTATTTATCTGTGCTCTTGCTGTGGGACAGGATCTTCATTCTTGAATGTTCCCCGAGCTGATGTGCGAGAGCCACTCGGGCTCTGACCTGGGAGCAGGGAATTGCTGGGCGTGGGGGCTAACGGTCCGCTTTACAGACGCGCTCTTGTTCCGATTTAGACCCTCTCCAGGAGAACAAGCGGTTCCCGGGGGCTGCTCTTCCTGACGGTGCTTGGGACTGTGGGGACCGGTTTCTGCTGATCCCTTGGGTCTGTGAGGACGCCTCCAGCGAGGCATGAACCCCGATTGCTCGGCGGCCAGGCTCCTCGTCTGCCTCACTCGCCATTTGTCTGTCTGTCCATCCGTCTTCTGTGGACCACCGGGTCTTGACGTTGCTCAGTTTCTCCTGCTGTGTCCTTGGCGGTTTGCAGGTGCTCGTTAGCATCCTGAGTCATAACCCGCCGTGGCCTGCGTGTGAGCGGGTGGTGTAGGCTCGTCCCCTCCCGGGGTGGCCCGTGGATGGACGCGGCCTTACTTGACGGCGCTCGCACCTGCGCGTCCCTCCTTTTGTCTTGTGCCTTCTGTGTCCTCAGACACAGTAACTAACCCCTTGGGTTACTCATCTTCTCCTGTCCTTTGTCCTAGGTGTTCTGTCATCCTGTTGCCCATGCTCAAGTCCTTATTTTCTGAGGGGCCCATCTGTGTGTGCTGTGAGGCGGGGTCTCAGTCGTTCAGTAGCTGAGTGAGTTCATCTCACCCTGGGCGCACTGCTGGGCCCTGGCCTTGCTGGGGTGTCTTTGAGTCCCTTTATTTCTGGCAGCTTTAACTGAGTTTAAAGGACACCCAGTTGGGCGGGTTTTTTTTTTTTTTAAAGATGACCGGTAAGGGGATCTTAACCCTTGACTTGGTGTTGTCAGCACCACGCTCTCCCAAGTGAGCCACAGGCCGGCCCTGTATTTTTAGACTTCCACGGGACGTGCTGGACAGAGGAGCTAGGATTGGCTCTGGTTTACCCCATCTGACCAGATCGGCCCCTCAGTTTTACGCGTCTGTCTCTGTGCCCCGGCCTGCCTGCCTCTGTCACTCCACACCCTTTTCCCTTCCTCTGCAAGGACAGCTGGGGAGGCAGAATGCCACACCCAGGGATGGTCAGGCCTGTGGATGTTTGGAGCTGGGATCTGCTGTGGGCCAGGCTTCCCCGCGAGAGCCAGGTGGGGTGGGTGGGCCGGACCAGGCAGTCGTCACCCCAGGCAGAGGTGGGTGGGTGCTCCCCAGGCACTCCTCAGGGCCAAGGAGCCTTCCCCTCCTAGGGCTGTGCCTCCCGCAGGCCCTGGGCCTGAAGCCTGAAGCGGTGGAGCAGAGGGGTGAAGGTTGGCCCTGACCCCACCCTGGCCTTGGGGCTCGCCTGGGTGTCTTCTGCAGCAGGAAATCTTTGGGGGTCACTGCGCAACCCTCGGTCCTCTACCAAACCCCAGGCCATGGTTTGGGCATCAGAAGCCACGTGCTGGGTCCTGCAGAGGGGCTGCATGGGCCGAGCCGACCGTCGGCCGTGCCGTCTCTGTTCTGCTGGGCTCCCACTCCCGGAGGGACCTGGACTTCGTGGTTTCTCACTGACTCTCCCATTCAAGGGGAGAGAAACAGGTTTTGCAATTGCTCTGACCTGATTTCGGCAGGTTCCAGCCAGACTTGGTAATTTGCTTGTTTTAAAAACATTCCATTACAGTTTCCACTTTAGCATGTTCATGCCACTTCCATTAGGCTCATGAAAGTCGCTTTTACTACAGAATTTTATAAAAGCACAAAGCTTCCCATTGTACATGATGTTTTTGGAGATTTTGTTTCCACGTGCATTTGTGTCAAAGCATTCTGGGACAGCAGACTGGGAGCAAGCGCTACGGTGTCAGCCCCGGCATTTGTAAAAGGAGGTGGTCTTCCCGGCGAGTTCCGAGTTTCTGGTAACTGGGATCCATGACACGTGCTCCGTGGGTCTGGCTTTCCCTCTGCATAAGCTGTGTCAGGCTGCGGGACACTCGGGCGGGGAGCCCCGAGGCGGCGAGTTCCGAGTTTCTGGTAACTGGGATCCATGACACGTGCTCCGTGGGTCTGGCTTTCCGTCTGCATAAGCTGTGTCAGGCTGCGGGACGCTCGTGCCTCTTGCATCTGGCTGAGCAGCTGATGTCCGAGCAGTTCTGTGTTTTAGGCTGACCGTGGACTCCAGTGCGGCGCCAACTGTCTGTCCCTAGATGGTTTTGTGTAAATATCACAGCCCATTTTGAACCTGTCCCTGTGCGGAAAATAGGGTCTGGCTGTCATGGAGCTGCCCAGAGGCAAGGAAAGGAAAACAGGCAGAGGACGGCGGGGCTTGCCCTGGCCTGAGTGATTTTGGCCGTGGCCATCAGCGAGTGACTGTCCTCACGCAGACCCTGCCTGCCCTGTGGAGACGCCCTGTCTCCCCGGCTGTGGGACAGGGGCCTCCCGTGTCTGCACCCTCGCCTGTGCTGTCTCCAGCCGCTGCAGTCGTGACAGCGTGAGGCTCATGCAAGGGGAGGCATAGCTGGAGCCGCCGCTGGGGAAGCCATCGTTTCAGCTCTGGCTGCCTGTGGCCCTGGGGGCTGGCCGTGCTCCAGCCACCTGGACAGGAGTGGCCATCCCGGCTGTGCCTCGTGTGGGGGAGCAAGGCTCATGGGCCGCGATGCTGTGTCTTTACACCTTCCTCATGTCCTTTCTAGAATCCATCTACCGCCGTGGAGCCAGAAGATGGAGGAAGCTGTACCGCGCCAACGGCCACCTCTTCCAAGCCAAGCGCTTTAACAGGGTGAGTGGCCCCTTGGGCCTGGCTCTGTCGCAGGGGCCTTTTACGTTGCTCTTACATGTGGAGAGAGCGGAGGCAGAGCGCTTCCTGCAGGACCCGGGCCTGGCTCTTCTCAGCACGCAGTGGCCGAGCCAGGCAGGGTGGCAGAGTGCTGAGCTCACGGTGTTCACTGCAGGACTTTCCCACACGGCGTCCGCTGTGTGGGTGCAGTCAGCATGTCGGTGTCCTGGGCCATCCCCAGTTACCTAATCCTTTATCAGCCCCATTGGCGCAGATGTCATGGTGTGCTGGCGCCCAGTATTGGGACTGCTGCATCAACAGGTGACACCAGGATGTGTGTTTTAGCTGCACGGTGTTTCCTACTGGCTGCAGGGGTCTCCCGTGGACCCCAGAAGCCCCATCTCTGCCTGGGCCTCTGTGCCAAAGGACACTTAACTTAGTTTCCCTTGTCCTTCTTTATGGTGCTTCTGTGTTCTCTAGGAATTTGGCAACTCTGGTGGCTTTGTAGCTGTTCCATTTCATGGTGGGAGGGGAGGTGCAGAAGCCTGCCGGCCTGTCCCTGCCACGGGCACTGCGCAGAGCCCCTGAAGCCCCTCCCTGCCACTGCCCGGTGAGCCCCTGGCTCGCCCGCATCTGTCCCCAGCATAGTGGGGACCCAAGCAGCTGCATTGCTGGTTAGTCCCAGCCCTGCCCCTTCCTCAGCCATAGTGCCACCCACTCTGTGCCTCAGTTTCCTCATCTGTGTAGGGGATGATGAAGCCACATGGAGGTGCTTGTTGGTGGGGCAGCGGCCACTGTCACTCCCACACAGACCTGCCACACAGCCTCACATATTAACCGCCACCGGGCATCAGGCCCCTCCTGTCTCCTCTGGAGTGGCCCCAGGTCAGCCCAGGCAAGGTGGCCACTGCCCCTCCTTTGAATCCTGTGGCCCGTCCTCTGGACCACCTGGGCGGTTATGTGTGGGGGTGGGCAGCTCCTCCCCCGCCCTTCCTGTGAGCTTGGTCCCAATCACCTGGTGAAAACATGGCTGGACCCCGCTCCGAGGAGGGGCATGCGGAGTGCTAGGCTCCTGGAGAGGGGCTGGGCACTGCCTGGAGAGCCCAGAGGACTTCCTGGGGGAGGAGGCATCTGATCGTACGCCTGGGAGGTCCGCACAGAGGAGTTGCTGGAGCACCCAGGATGTGACAGGCACAGGAGGGTCCCAGCAGTGTGTAGGAGGCCCTGAGGACGAGGTTGGGGCGTCAGGCAGCGAGAAGCCCCGGAAGGTCTCTGGGCTGTGTGCTTGGGAAAGGCAGGTGTGGGTGAACAGGGAGAGCAAGGCTGGAGGTGGCCACATCGGGGGCATCTATGGGCTGTGGTGCTGGGGACAGTCACAGCACAGAGTCTGTCACAAGCACAGCTCGTCGCTCCCTAATCCACACCGCAGGGGCACACCTACCTGCCCCACCTCACCGGCCGCCACCTCCTCAGACGTGCCGGAGCTGTCAGAACAAAGTACCACAAACCAGCAGCTTCACAAGAGAAGCACACCTACCTGCCCCACCTCACCGGCCGCCACCTCCTCAGACGTGCCGGAGCTGTCAGAACACAGTACCACAAACCAGCAGCTTCACAACAGAAATCTACCCTGTCACAGTCCTGGAGGACAGAAGTCTGATATTAAAGGGTTGGCAGGGCCCGGCTCCCTCTGAAGGCTCCAGAGGAGAATCTTTCCCTACTTTGGCACGAAGCTGCATCATTCCCAATTTCCAGCTCTGTCTTCATGTGATGTTTTCTCTGTGTCATCTCTATTCTCCTTATAAGGACACAGTCATTGGAATAGGGCCGCTTACCCTTCTCCAGGATGACTTCATCTTAACTAATCACACCTGCAAAGACCCTCTTTCCGAATAAGGTCTCATCCACAGGTTCCAGGTGGACATGAATTTGGAGGGACATTTGGACACGGTACCGCTATCTAGAGGTTCATCCTTGATCCCATTCTTGTGTTCCTAACTCCCCTGTCTCCCGTGTCTCTTCACCTTCCCTTCCTGGCCAAGCTTTGAAAAAGTCTCAGTTACAGGTTGAAGAAATTAACAAGAGATAATTTAAATAGAAAAGGTGAATGTCTTAGGATTCTGGGTGTTTCACAGAACTGAAGTTTAGGAACAGAGTTGGGCTTTTTGGGTAAGTTATGGAATCAGGGGATGGAAAAACTGCGGGGGGTTCTATCCATCTCATGTCTGTTCTTGTCTGTAAGTGCTGCTTCTTGTAAGGCAAGAAAACTCTCTGAAATGGTCATTTTCCAGTTTTTAGCATATTCTGTCTCTCAGCTTTGAACTCAGTTGACCACGACCATCTTGAAACACTCTCTCAGCTTCTGTGACATCTCAGGCTCCTGGTTATTCTTCTATCATTTTGTTTGTTCTTAGCTTCCTTCCAAGATTCCTCACCTGCCGCTCTCTGCCCGGCCCACCCTTCCCCACGTCCTCGGAGCCCACGCTCTCCCTTACTTTCTATCTTGGCTCAAACATCCAGCAGCCCCTTCTCTGGACCCCTCACTCACGGAGGCTCCCAGCATTCCTACAGCTCTGCACATGACACCTCCCCATGTGCACAGCGCTCTGGGGATAGGACTCTGCCCTTTTGGAGCTGTGTCCTGTGCCTGGCACATAGTAGGTGCACCGTACACACTGGTCAATCCTTTATTATAATTAACAATTGGAGGAAAGCCCTGGGAGCTGTGCTCGGGGATTCAGGAAGGAAGAGGCATGTCCGCCAGGCAGGAGCTGGACTCTGGGAACCGAGGCAGACGCGGAGAACTGGAGAAGGTGACTCCTCTCAGCAAGACACCACGGGAGGTCTCTGAGTGCCACGTGCTGCTGTGGCACTGGGGCAGAGGCAGCAAGATGCAGGAACCATGGAGGCTTGTGGCGTTTCTGGGTCTGCCAACGGGGTGTGGATGTGAGATTTTGCAGTGAGCCAGCCAGACAGGGTGAAGGCCGGCTGCTGGGAGTGTGGGGACATGGAAACGTCCCAGCCCCATGACGAGGCACCCATTAGCCACCCCCCACGTCTGTTTACAAAACAACCAACCAGCTCCACGGCCGGGAGGCTTCTCTTCCCATGAATCTGGGCCCTGGCTTGGTTCTTGGCCAGAGGGTATCTCGGGAAGAGCTAGTAGCCCGCCGACGAGATAGCAGAGAGAGGGTTCTGGAAGCCCTGGCCCCACACCGGCTCTCAGTGACACGCGTGTTTTCTTCATTTCTGGCCGACTAGTCCAGGACAAAGCCCACCCACCTGCGAGACAGCCAGAGCCCCGGGCAACATGGGGCCTGGCTTCTGCCTGTGCAGGTGTTAGGACAAACCCATTTCGCNGTCTCAGGGGGTGCCAGGCCCTGAGACACAGTGGCCATCCCAGTGCTCATGCGGCCATATCCAAGGTCAGGGTGGACGCCAGCCTCTGGGAAACAAAGAGCAGGCGTCTGTAGCCGCTCCCAGCAGCCTCCTTTGACACTCCCCAGCCAGGGTGGCCAGGCGCCTGGTGTGGAAGGCATGGGTTGCTCTGTGCTAGGCTAAACCAGAAAAAGTGGGTGTCCCACTCACAACCCCAAACTCCTGTGTCTAGAAGGCCATGCTGCAGCTGGATGGAGCTTGGAGCCTCTGGTGGAATGTGTGATTCGCAAGAACAGGGAGACCTGGAGTCCCAGCCCAGCTCCCTGGAGGGCTAGACATCCACAGGG